GGTAACATCTAGGAGAGGAATTGCTAGGTCAAAGGGTAACATCGAGGAGAGGAATTGCTAGGTCAAATGGTAAGTCCCAAGAGGCCACTCACAATAGAGCAGAGCTCCAGTGTCTCTGCATCCTCACTGACACTTCTATGCCTTTTTTCTTATTTCTATCCTCGTGGGTGTGCTGTGGCATATCACTGTGGCTTTGATTTGCATTTCCCTAGCGAATAAATGATGCTGAATACCTATTCACGTGCTTATTGGTCACTTGTACATCTTTGGAGAGCTGCCTACACCAATTCTGTGTCTATATTTTACTTGGCTTGTCTTTTGATTATTGAGTTGTAAGGTTCTTTATATACTGGGTACAATACTCTTATCAGATATATGATTTACAAATTGTCTCTCCTCTTCTGTCCTACAAATACTTTAATGCTTCAAGCCCAGCTTTTGTAGCCCATGTCTTAGGAAGTTCATTTGCACAAACTCTGCTCATGCTTCTTGCTCATGTGGAGTGTTCTTACTTCATGGCTGTGCTTTTGTTTGTTTTTGTGCAGAAGAACGGGGATGCAGGCCAGAGGTGCAGCGGGTGAGAGGACTCACCAGAGACAGAATGGGGAGCCGAAAGGCTTATCTACTGAAATCCGCTGCTAGGGGAGCAGCAGGGAAACAGGAGAGGTCTGCTGCCCCATGTGGGTCAGCTCCCTGGCCAGGGATCGAACTCATACTGCCGTGGTGGACTGTCACAGTGATGAGACTTAACCTCCTACCCCCAAGGGAGCCCTCCATGGTTGTACATTTAAAGAGTTTGCCTCACCTACTTGAACACCCTGCCAAATAAAAGGTCAGGCATCCTTAGAAGTGACAGTGTATGCCTTCAGCTCAGCCCCACGCCCCCCCCGGGCTCTGGTCCCTAGCTGTGACTTCTGCCCTGGCCTTAGGTGACAGACTGGATGGCCAGCACCATGTGCTTTCTTTGCTGAGTTGTCTTCAACTTATTTTCGGTCTCCCTCGGCTTACAATCATTTCTGGAAAACAAGGCAGCAGCAGAGGCTATTAACCCCAGTAGATCTACTGATAAATTGGTAATTCCCCTACAAATTTTCTTTCCACCAGCCCTGAAATCCTCTGCCATCTTGTCCAATTTGCCTTGTGATTCTTTATCAATTGATAGGATTAGAACCTAACAAAAATGTCAGGTTCCCACAATTCTTCATTCATTCAGTTATGCTGACATTTTTCTTTAATTGGTACCTATGTGTCTCTGCTTGTGTTACCTTGAGAAGCTTCACACCCTAGTTTTTTTTTTTTCACGTCCTAGTTTTTATGTCACATGTGTGCAGACACGCTGTTCCCTTTTGTATGCACCTAACATCACTGAGCCTGCATGTTTTAGATTTTTTTCAATCTTGTGCTAGCCAGTGTCCTGTAAACATCCAATCAGTGGGTTAGTGATTGGAAAAGTTTCAAGGGACACAAAAGCCACTTCAAGTCATGTGGTCAGGGTTTCCACAGAAGAGGCCCACCGCAGTCACATGCCACAAGTCTTAAGTCACAGACCCTAAAGGGGAGAGAGAGCCCAAACCACAAGCACCTCTTTGCAGACGGCAGTGCATGCCAGAGTGCACAGATCTTTTGAGAACTTTCTCAGAACTACTTAAACAATATTTCTCAAACAAAGAGTTTAAAGGGGAATGAGCCACACCACTTGAAATGACAACTGACACCCTAAGGCTCATGGTTTGGGGCAATGAAAACTGGGAGAGGAAGCTTTGTTCCCAACTATTACCCCCGATCTGTCGGCAGTGGAGGGTGAAAAGAGGTGCTGAGGGCCGACTGCAGTGATGAGTGAGATGAACACAGTCATGGGGTACAGCCACCACTGCAGATACCCGGCCACTGTTCTGGGACTGACAGAACCTTGATGCCGCCCGGCCGTGAGCACAGCGGCTAAGTGTGTGGGCTCTGGGGCCATGGGAACTGGCTCAAACCCTCATTGCTTCATTTCTCTGTTCTTCATCACCTATTTTGTCGCTATAAAATGGGGCTAAGCTGCAGGAAGGTTGAACCAGTCACCAAGGAAGCCCAGGCCTGATGCTCGGTGGCCTATAAGCGTCACGTCAATGTTTGTTAACCAGCTGGATGGCTAGTGATTAGATTATTTCCAAAATTGGTAAATTTGTCCCTTTGGACCCAATAATTACTCCCAGAAATGTAAGAAAATAAGCAGAGGTGACTGATGCAAGAGGACACACTGCTTACAAGAGTTACAACCTGTCAACCACTTGCATCTGTGAGTGAGGAGGAACCAAGTACATCGTGGGACAGATACATCATATAACTAAACTGTGTACAGAGAAATCATGGGAAACCCGCTTCACCACATTAAGTTAGAAGGGAAAAAAAAGGAGGCAGGACTCAAAAGTGTAACCCTAGCTTTGCTTTAGTTTTGTACAAACATCAGCACATTTCCAAACAAGTGCCTGCATTTAGAAAAAAAGTCTAGAGAGAAATACACTAAGAGGACCAAAGTGATCATTCTTAGACAAGACAACCACTTGTATAAATAGCATTCTTATTGCAAAAATCTGGATTTTCCAGATTCCCTCCAAGCGCATGTTTTGCTATTAAAATAAAAAATGAAATGAAAAATTAAAAGATGTTTCTCAAGAAGACTGGGCCAGGCAGGTGGGGAATAATCCAGAAAGGGCCCTGCTGCCTGAATGTATATTCAGAGGAAGCCGGAAATCGACCCAGAATTCTTTTTCTTGGAAGTGGTATCTCCAGATCTGTTTATGTTGGCAGCACTAGAGAAACGAATTGCACACTGTGGGCCTAATGGCCTGCACGCCAATACGTCCCTGCAGCCCCTGATTTAAACGTAGTAATTTTGCCACAAGTGCTCTCTATAATTTTGGTTTTGCTGCTGTAACTGTCCAAACACGGAAGCACCTTTGTTTGCAACGACCATAATGCCCGGCTGCAGAGAAACAGGATGGGAAGCTTAAGTCCCACAAGCCTCAAAATTAAATTATTTAATGTCTTTAGAAAGTCCCTCATATGTCAACATCTCTGAAAGCAGAAGCTAAGGCCCTCTCCCATCAAATCTACAACTGGAAAGAAAACAAAGCCAGCCACCACCCCAGTTTTTAGTGGTCCTGCAGCTTTTATAGAGGGGGCCGTGGCGCTCACCCCACCTCTTCATTTCTTTTCCTAAAACCAACTTGGTCCTGAAAACATCTCTACAAAATGTTTTGAGCAAATCCAATGAAGTGAAACATGCTGGCCTAAGAAAGTATTGCTTTTTGAAAATGTCATCATTTAAAAAAACTCTATTTCTAATATTTAGAGGCTCTGTCAACACACCAGGGTCCTTCCCCTCTGGAAGCGGAGGAGTCTGAGTGAATAAAGCAGGTCCTCTGGCCCAAACCTTCTTTAGCTCCGGGATACTATAACCACAGATGCTGAGGAGGGAGGCTTCCGGCCTGGGGACATGCGTGATGCCCCTCATCATCTTGAAATCCTTAATACTATTTGAACAAGAGCCCTCTCATTTTTACTTTCCACTGGACCCCACCAATTCTGGAGTTGGCCCCAGTGGGTGGTCCATTTATTATGTTACATTTGCTTGAAGAATGGATAAATGCGAGTCAAAGATAACCCGCAAAGCCCAGTGTACAGTCTAGATTCTGAGGCAAATATCGATTCAATAGACACAGGTTGATCACAACGAGGCCGCTGGAAACCCATTCCTCTAACACAGTTCCAGGTTCCCTGCTTTTCTGGACTAGACACATTCCAAACCGTAGGGGTGGAAGTCTCCCCGAATGGTACGTAAGTCTCCTCCCTAGCGGGTCTAGCCATAGGCTACAGGTGCGGACACTCCTTTTCCTGCCGATGGGCACGAAGAGACACTTGAAGGCCTGTCCTTGTTGGTACGTTTATTCTGAGAGGTTTCGTGAGCTGCTTTAGGTAAAAGTCCCATGGGAATCTCTATGAGTCTGTGTATAGAAATTATTTTCCAGGAGGACTGTGCAAATCGGTCCTGAACCTACACTCTATCAACCAGCCACATCCTCACAAGCTTTACCATTTCTCTGAACGTTACCTAGTAGTAGAAAATGACAGCCTGTAATTTAACTTCTTCGTCTAGAAGTCCACTGAATAAGGTCATTAGCTAGCCCTGGGGGCCTCCCCTCTTCTTCGTCTGTGCGTTTAGATACACTCTAGGCGATGACAAACCTCAAGGGGACAAGAGCCAGAATAATGTGCCATCACCGTAATTAAAGGACCTGGTTCCTTACGAGGTCCAATTTGACCTGGAAGGTTAAATAAACCAGATTTTTTAAACGTGGAGAAAATAAAAAGCAATAAGGTGTCTCCTGCCTGTCAAAACAGGAAGCCCTTTTAGACAGCTTCTCCTGAAACCAATGAGAGAATAAACTTCCACCAAACTGAGAAGTCACGTGGTAAGTAGGCTGCCAGCCCTCCCCGCCAGCCTGCGACCTCTCAGCTCCGGAGGAGTGGGAGGCTGGGTCGCTGTCCTCGGGGGGGTTTGAAAGCACACACGAAACATGTGCTTATAACTTTGCCAAGCGGCACGAGGGAACAGGTGGCCCCAGGTCCTGTGACGACGCCCCCACAGCTCCCGGGAAGGACACAGAGACAGGCTTACTATTTCAGCTGCACCCAGTAGACCGTCGGCCTCATGTCACCACCTGGCTCCCAGGTCAGGACCTGCTCTTCATTGTACAGGTGAATCTTCGGGTTCTGAGGGGCAGGCAGCTGGGAAAGAATGTCTTGCAAGGGACGAAGATGAGAGAAAGGGGTGGGAGAGAAAGGGAGGGTCAAGAGGAGAAAAGAAAATTACAAAATGATTTAAATGCTCATAACCCTTATTCGCACAACTCAGTTTTAGTCCGAGTGCAGAAGTGGCTTAATTACCGGAGCCGCCTGGCAGCCCCCCATCCCTTGATAGTGAAGATGGCACCAGTGATGTAGTGCATGGGGCGAAGAGGGGCTGGGGGTGCCTTTCCACCTGCAGGCTCCAGTCTGGCCGGACTACAATGTTCCACCTTTACTCGAACTGGGTGGAACCTAGAATCAGGCCCCAGTTTCTTCTTGAGTAAGGAAGGCTAAATAGTAACACTAAGGTTCTGGCAAACACACACACAACAGCCACTCAATTCCCAAAGGCACACGGGGGTGGGTGCAGGCCTCTTTCTGACCCAGAGTTGCTGAGTCTCTCAAGGACCCCTACCTAGTCTCGTAACCACTGAGATGCAGGACAAAATGCAGATTTCCCGTCCCTCATGCCTGACCAGGACATCTGCATTTTCAACACGCTCCTTTATATTCAAGTTTGAGAACAGACAATGAAATGGGTGGCCCCCAGGGAGCCCCCTTCACACAGTCCCCTCCCCTGGCGTGATCTGCAAGATGTGCCCTCAGACCCGCCGCCCCCTCTGAGCAGAGATGCTGGGACAGCCCTAGCGGTGGCAGCGGCTGGAGGCTTCCTGCCAGGGAGAAACTGGAGCCTGAGAAGACTTCCTCCGAGACTGAGCGCTGAGTCAGAGATGTCTGGAAGGTAGAAACTCAAAACACACAGCTTAGTAACGGACCAGCCAGGGAAGGCGAGAGACTGGCCACCAGCCCCTCCACTGGGAGACATGTCACCGGGGGCTTGGGGCCACTGGTCACCGACCCCATGCCCACCCGCCTCTGTATCTATCATCGCTGGATGACCTTCATTCTGATCTTTCTTCAACCAGAGATCCATCACTTCTCCCAATTCACACAAGACTCCAGGGGCAGCGGGACGTGGTGCGGGAAGGCTGCTTCCCAGCAGACGCACCCCCAAACCGTGGCTGCAGGGCACAGCGGCCCCCAAAGTGAGAGCGGAAGGCGCTCCAGGGCACAGCCTCTCAGAGCCCCTTCGACTGCCTGTGCCCTGTTGGTGCTGAAACAAATCATCCCAGCTCTGTGGTTCCAAACACTGAATTCCTGGTCTTGCTAGGCTAGGTCTGGGCTAGGTCTCACGGCACCGAAGTTCAGCGTGTGGCTTCCTTCTGGAAGCTGCAGGGGGAACCTTTTTCCTTGCCTTTTCCAGCTCGCCTCTGCTCGTTCTTTGGCGTGCGGCCCCTTCCTCCGGGGACTCTGGGCCCAGAGCCTCTTGCGCAGGGGTCTCCTGGGCCTGACTCCTCTGTCCTTCAAGAACCCTGGGCCCACCCCACCTGGCCATGCAGGCTCCTCTCTCCTCTCACTTCATGGCTCCCAAAGTCCCCTGGGCCGCATCCGTAGCAGTCTTGGGGTGTGGCGATCGGGATACGGACATCTTTAGGGTCCCTTCATTATCTCCCCATCTCAGAGACAGGAGCCAGCAGGAATTTCCTCTCCCTCCACCATTGTTCTGCACCCTCTCCGCAGCCTAGACGTAGGAGAGGGGGTACCGAGACCCCAGGGATGACGAGCAGGCCCTGCCCACCAGCGCTCGGCCAGAGGAAGGCTTTCTGGAACCCCCCCCAGGAGCCTGGAGGGTGAATCTGCAGTTTTGCGCTTACAGTTGAGTTTCTTGGAATCCTTGGTCTCACCACATTGAGAGAGAAAACAAGTCTGAGAACTGTCAGTTCCACAGTGAGGCAGCAAAACTGCAGGCCTCGCACAGGGGCCTGATAAAACGGGCCCGGCTGGCCTCGCCCTTTGTTCCTGCCCGGGTGTTCTTGTACCCGGAACACGCTGGGCTCACCCACACTCCGGCTTGCCACGCTCTGGAGCCCTTTGGCAGCCCCTGCCACTCTCCACAGGCGCCCGCTGCTCAGACTGGATTCCAGAGTGCAGAGCCTGGGCTCGGGACCCCTCCCTGCTCCTTTTCTCCACGGGGCCTCTTCACCCCGGGCATCTTTTGCTTACAGGAGCACGGATTCCACGACCAGCCTGCCTGGGTTCCAAGTCACGCATGACCGCGTGACCTTAGGCGAGCTGTGCCACCTCTCTGTGCCTCAGCGTCCATTGGGGCAACGGGCAGGATGGTGGCACAGACTTGTCACCAGGGACAAAGGAGCAGATATTGTGGGCACTGCCAGGACCACCTGGTGACTGTCACCTCTTCTGGGTAATAGCATAGCAAGAGACCCCCCTAGAAACCAGCGGCCAGATGCCATTGGATGGGGGAGCTGAAAGAGCAGCAGCTGGAGAGCTGGGAGCCTGACAGGCCTCGGGGACGGCGGTCTGCTCCTCATCACAGACGGGGCTGCCACCCAGTGCCACTCAGCGCTGCCTCTTCTACCCAAAACCACGTAGCTCTCTAGCTGTCTCCTGCCTTCCTTGTTTTATCTCGTCTCCCCTTTTCTTGGGTCTCAGAGCCAGGGTGGGCAGTTCTGGGCCAGGGACTCATCTGGGTGATTCTGAAAAGTCCATATATTGGTCATCACACCTGCTGTTAGCAGTGTTGAAAAGTCTCAGATTCTTCAAAACACAGGTAATTAAATTCTGAAAGAATTAGCTGGCTGACAGCGTGTCAGTGTTATGGATCCGCTTCCCATCCACAGGAAATGGTGGCCACTTAAAGCTTCACCACAGAATGGGTCAGCCACATATTTTACACATGGTTCCTTCCAGCAGCTCCACAGGACAGCTATTCTAAGTCTCCCTTTGCAGATTTGTCTCTAAAACTCTTATTTTCTCCCCCTCTACCCACAGAAGCAATTTTCTGATTATCAAACATTTGCGATTGATACAAAAGTGGACATTTTTCCTACTACCCGGATGCCTTGATCATGTTAATGTTTTCATTCAAAAGAGTTTCCTCTTAAAAATATCCCAGTTAGGTTTGTAAAAGAATTTTATTACAAAAAATTTCAGTCACAGAGATTTATATCACATGCTGCTTTGCAAGGGATGTCTGGTGAAGGACCAGCTGTGATGTGTCACGTCCTAGAATCCAAGAACCTTGGGTGCCGTGGTGCTAAAGCCTTCTCTCAACCTTTGGACTTAGTCGCCACCACCGATCAGGAATAACAAGATACCACCACCTGCCCCAAGCCTGCCTGGGCAACTCCCAGCAGTTGACCAATCCTCCTATCTTATTTAAAGGAGGCTCAGAGAGGGGGCAGGGGCAGGATTCAACCCACCTGTCTGTCTCCCATGGGAAAATGCGCCCGGATTCCTGAGCACAGTCTCACAGGAGGATTCCCTCAGTCAAGGAGCTGTCCCACAGAAGGGTCTTTGCAAGGGCAGCGGGAGACTTCAAGTGGGAGGAAACCCCCAGCTTCACCAGCCTCTGACTGATATACTCTGTGAGCGTATCAGCGTCTCCATCCAGAAAAACTCAGCTAAACACAAACACGTAGACACACACACACAGAATATTCTACGTGTCTGTCACCGAGGTCCCTTTTTTTTCCTTTCTCCCGTAGCTGGTGTGTGTGGCTCCTAAGTATGCCAGTGACAGAGGTGGGAAGGACACTGCACGCAGGGGAGAAAAAGGCTGCTGGTCGGGAGCAGGCCAGGAGACCTCCTCCCCAGATGGCCATGGTCGCCTCTCCATCTCCTTGATGTGGATTTCACACTCACTCTCCAACAGCTATGGCTACGGAAACAGTCACAGGCACTGTTCCAGGGAGAGGTTCCTGCCGGTGGCTGACCTCGGGCACAGGGCTGCAAGGCAGCTCCGGCCACGGGAAAGGACCCGCCAGGCAGGGGCTAAGGCCGGTCAGCACCAAGAGTTTGTGGCTCCAAGGCGGCCCTTTCCTGAGCCCGGGTTCCTTTACCCTCAGTTCACTTCAGGGTGAGGATGGGGTGGGCGCGGGAGGGGGGAGCGGTGGGGGGGCTGCAGGGTGTCCCGGCAGGGGTGCCGGCCGGCGGGCTCCTTCAGGTCAGTCGGCTCCTCGCCCCGAAGCGGCGGAATTCCCCGCTGTCCACCCCACACCCACTCGGCTCCTCGAAGGCCCCGCTGACACTGCGGCCGACGCCACCGCAGCGGGCGCCCCGCGAACCCTCAACCAATCGGGGTTCCCGGGGATCCTCCAAGCAATCCGGATGCCCCTCAGGAAATCCCACCCTTCGCCGACCCCCTCGCGAGCCCCCAGGGCCCCCCTGGCCGCCACCGAATCCGGGCACCCCGGCCCTCCGCCCGATGGGCATGCGCGAACCACCGAGCGCACCCCAATCCCTCGCGAGACCCCACCCGCCGCGCCTCTGGGGCGCAGCGCCCCTACCTGTCGGGGGCTCCGCCGCGCCGAGCCGGGCGAGCAGCAGAAGCAGCAGCAGCGGCG